AATGAAGCTAACGGAGTGTGTTAAAAATGTAAAAGATTGGATGACCAATAATTTTCTTCTATTAAATTCAGATAAGACAGAGATATTACTAATTGGAACAAAAACAGTACACAGAATCTCTTGGATTACAATTTGCAACTAGACGGATGTACTGTTACTTTCTCTACAGTCAAAAATCTGGGTGTTATATGAGACAGCAAGTTGTCTTTTGAAAATCATATTTCCCATGTTACAAAAACAGCATTCTTCCATCTTAGAAACATTGCCAAGTTTGGAAACATGTTACCTGTTTCTGATGCAGAAAAGCTAGTTCATGCATTCATGACCTCTTGACTGGATTAATTGTAATGTACTGCTAGGTGGTTGTCCTGCATCCTCAATAAACGAGCTACAGGTAATCCAAAATGCAGTGGCTAGAGTCCTTACCAGGTCAAGAAAATATGATCATATTACCCCAATTTTACAGTCTCTGCACTGGTTACCTATTAAGTTCCGTATCAGTTACAAAATATTATTACTTACCTACAAGGCCCTTAATGGTTTAGCTCCTGCGTACCTAACTAGTCTTCTACCACGCTACAATCCATCACGCTCCCTAAGGGCGCAAAACTCTGGACTTTTGGTAGTACCTAGGATAGCAAAGTCCACTAAAGGAGGTAGAGCTTTTTCGCATTTGGCTCCCAAACTCTGGAATAGCCTTCCTGATAATGTTCGGAGTTCAGACACACTCTCTCTGTTTAAATCTACACAGTAAAAAATGCAGTGCCAAATTAACACTTAAAGTGTCGATTTTAACACTACTGAAGATCATATATGGTCCCAATCTGTCTAGCGTTAAAAGTACACCATTCGTAATGTTGAACTTTTAGTGTTAATATAGCACCTTACAGTGTAGAAAAATTACACTCCGAGTGTAAAGTGTTAAACTTGCTATTGTTGTTTAAATTTTACACTATGGGGTATTTAACACCCCTCGTGTTGTTTTAATCCTTTAAAGGGGTCATATGATGTGATTTCAATTTTACCTTTCTCTTTGGAGTGTTACAAGCTCTTGGTGCATAAAGAAGATCTGTAAAGTTGCAAAGACTAAAGTCTCAAATCCAAAGAGATATTCTTTATAAAAGTTCCTAGTCAGCCACACCTACCTAAAACGGCTCGTTCTAACACTCCCCCACATATCTACCTCACTATGTGGGAAGATTTGCATAACGTTGCCCAAATGATCACGCAAAGAAAGAAGGCGTAACTTTTATTCTCACTGTAGTATTGTTGACGCTGCAGCCATGTCGTGAAGACGCTGTGTGCTTCGTTGTGAAAGCGAAACTACTTTGTTTGGTCTTCCAAAAGAGGACGATATCCGCTTCGTCATGCCTGGAGCTGATCTGTGCTGGTCGCTGAGGGAATACATCAACTTTCACCGTGGACGAAGCGGAGTCCAGCCCGGACACATGTGGTTTCCACCAGGCGCGCCGTTCTCGACCCCGCCACCACAGCTCACGCTAGCCCGGCCTCAGCTCACTCTATCCTGGCCTCAGCGCACGCTAAGCCTGGGCTTCCGCTCACGCTAGCCCGGCCTCATCTCACTCTATCTCGGCCTCAGCGCACGCTAAGCCGGGGCTTCCCGGGGCAAACACTTCTTCACACAGGGCCATGTAGTTTTGGATTTTGTTTTCCCTTAATAATAAAAACCTTCATTTAAAAACTGCATGTTGTGTTTACTTGTATTATCTTTGACTAATATTTAAATTTGTTTGATGATCTGAAACATTAAAGTGTGACAAACATGCAAAAAAATAAGAAATCAGGAAGGGGGCCAAGACTTTTTCAAATATTAAATTAATACCTTCATTTGTTAAAACAATTTATTAAAACAATGCAATCTTTCAACAAAATGTAATTCTACTACAGTATCTGTACCAATATTAATGATTTAATTTTCCTAGTATTCAGTGAATAACATGTAGGATTTCTATCCATAACAGACACTGATATGCCATGGAATCATCCCAGCACATGACTCCAATATTCGGGGGCGATTTCCTGTCAGCCTTGTCTCATCTACTCATGAGATCTAAACTAATTCAATCAGGAGACAACAAAGCTTTCTTTGTATCAGGACTGGAAAGTTCGTTCACAACATATAGAAACCACGATGTCTTGTGACCACCCATGAATGAACTATTACATCCAACAGGAAAAGGACAGTAATTTAATCACACCCACAGGCTTGATGTACAACGGACCTAAAGAACAGTGATAATGTGACTAAATCAAACTCAGCAAACTGTATCAGCAAACTCGTGACATGGGCATGACCTCAGGACACCTCCCCTTTCCCCCCTGCATTCCAAAAAAAGGACGCATCTTTTACTACTTCCCAGAAAAAGCGCGCGTTTCTCCTGTCACAGACAAAGGGACACGAAACTTACAATGGACAATTTCAACAAATAATCATTAATGCACATAACAGGTCAACCAGATTCACAAAGAATATGTTGTATGTCTTATATATATATGCTTGACGTGTTCCTGAAATCGGTGCAAGTTTAACCAATGTGGTATAACACCTTTTAGTAATTAAGATTATTAATGTGTATGCAAACTACCCGATATTGAGCTTGAATGAAAGCTTGTTTTATTCGCCGAACATTGGTGTTGGTGAAAATTTTATATTCTGTATCATTTTCCGGTGATATTTTTATAAGCAGTTCTTAAAAACTTGCAGAAATACTCCCCATGAACAGCACGTGACTTGTGCACGAAAAGGAACCACACAGGGCATGGCTAAACCCCGCAGCCACCATCTGATTGGACAACGACCTGTGGGCTGGACAAAAGTCAGCCTGCTTAAAAATGGACACAAAGCCCTCTCGCTCGCTCTTACGCTCTCTCTCTCTCAAGACCCTCTGGCTTTCATTTTGGTGACAGCGCTACAAGCGCTCCCATGCCGTAACATCACACAGCGAGAGTCCAGAACTCAAACACTTCAGTTGAAACTTCGCGTTCTTCAAAGAACTTAAAGTCTTGCAACTCAGACTTTTAGCAGAACAACTCAAGCCTCTGCGTCATCAAGCAACCAACCAATCCAACGAGGGCTCTCCCAAAAGGACGGCATCCTGACGTCACTGCAACAGCCAATCAGCAAAGGAATTTCCCTCAAGCAGCCATCCAGGAAGTCTGTGTCAGCAACGAGAAAACCTCTCCGCTTCTCAGATTTCAGCAAACGCAAGTACAAACAAAGCTCCTATCTGCTGAAAGGGATGCTTATGATTGATTTAAGCAGTAAACCTAAGTCAAACCTCTGCTTTGTGATTCTCTTGGGTTGAATTTAAAACCACTCGTGGAAACGAGTTAGAACTTTGAAAACTTCATGCAACTCCGTTAACTAATTTCCTTGAATCTTTGTGTGTATGTGTATGTATTAGCTTAGTTTGAATGTAATCTAGAATAGCCAATAAAATTTGTGTTTCATTTATAAAGAATCATTGTCTGGTGTCATATAATTTTAAAGTCAAACCCTTGCCAAGATCACGTTACCTCGCTAGGAGCTTATCATAATTGTATTGACCTGTGGCCAAGGAAAATACCCATAATCAGATGGTTAAGATACATGAACATTAACGTCTCGCTGGACGACCATTGATAAGGTGTAAACCATTAAAATTTTAATTCAGTTTTAATCAGGTTGACTTCGAATTTTCAGATTCGAGTCCTTTCAAACCCTGAATGAATTAATAATAATTAATTCCCTAAAATTAAGTAATCAGAGACATTACACTGATCCTGGGAGAGTAACATTAGACTAAAATGCCGGCAGTTCTGACTCACAGTCTGTAAGTACGTTTTCATTTAAAGGATTTGCCACTGATGATTCAAATGCAAGTTTTGGGCAGTAGAGTAGCACTTGTTGTTTGTCATTTCTCAGATCACAAATGCAGACAGTGTTTTATGTTTACGCGGCGCGATGCAATGTAACGCAACGCGTAAAAAGACCGTATAAGTCATTATAATCAGTAATTATGTCCCCACTGGATGCAACAAATGCCTCGTTTGTAATGGGTTTTAATGTTTTTGTCTTGTCGCTCCGGCCGGACACGGCATCATAGTATGTGAGGGGTGTAACATTTCCTTCTCACGCTTGAGGAATTCGGCCAATCACAATGCACTGGATAGCTGGCCAATCACAGCACACCTCACTTTTTCAGACCGATGAGCTTTGTAAAAATCGACGCGTTTCAAAAAGGGCATAGAGGAGAAACAATAATGTCCAGTATGTGGAAAAGAATGTGTTTTTTTTTTACTTTAAACCGCATAAACACATTTCATTACACCAAACGCACAAAATAATGTTCTTTTTAGCAGCATCATATGACCCTTTAAGTGTTATTAATAAAGTCCTCTTTTCAGTGCAAACAAAAAATGCTATTGTATGGTGTTAATGTACAAGATTAGACATAAAATCAAGAGTCTTCAGACAGATGTATAAATTTCAACGTTTATTTAACAAATGGGCAAAGTGGCAACTTTAAAACATATCAGATGTGTAGAGGTTAATTAGTCAGTCACATTCATTAAGTGTTGCACAGAAACATAAAATAGTTAATAAAACAAAATCATCAAATTTACCTAGACATGAACAAATATGACAGGTAGATTTGACAGTTGTGTAGCATCCGTGAATGATGTTCCTCGTTGTCCCATCAGCAAGCAGGTATGGCTGTGTGGTCTCTCCTATGCAATCAAGCTGATCTTCTTGTTGGTGCCTGCAGATCAAAGACAAAAATAACACTCAAGGTCAGCTCTCCAACTGATTTTATTTACATTAGTCTTTCATATACAACCCATCTGGCAGTATTTTGAGGCAGGCAATAGGTAGCGACAGAAATGTCCAAATGTACCTTTTTGAAGATGTTTTTCAGCTTTATAGGATGACATTTTTCCAGGTCCCTTGGAGCCTTGTGGTGATGGTGGAATCAAATGAAGTAGGAGACCAATTGATGCAATATCGCTGTCCCATTCTAAATAACAGATATGACAAATTTAGCCAAAAAATGCATGAACACACAATATAGATAAAGCATTAATATAGATCAGTGTTTCTCAACCATGGTCCTGGGCACCCCCCAGCACTGCACATTTTGTGTGTCTCCCTAATCAAACACACCTGATTCAACTCATTAGCTCTTTAAAAGAAACTCCAGAACCTGAAATGGGTGTGTCAGATAAGGTAGACATACAAAATGTGCAGTGTTGGGGGGAGCCCAGGACCAGGGTTGAGAAACACTGATATAGATAATCTTATTCTGAAATATAGTCTAACCTTAGAAATCGGTTTCATCCTCCTTTACAGCTGATTCCGAGGTCAATTGGGTCCTTGAAGGTCTTTGGAGAAGCCAGGAACTTGGCTTCTTGAAAAGAAAAAAAAAAGAACAAACAATGACAACAATATGACACTTTGATACTTCATAAACTTCATAAAGAGATCTAATCCATAAAGAGAAATAATCCATACATATCATGGTTTAGTCCAAATTTTCTGTTTATGTTACCTGATCAATGTTTAAATGTGAATTTTTTTTTTTAATCTGTTCATTGTAAAGCGATCGAGTCTCTTCAGAAAATTTGGACTAAACCGCTCGATTATAATTTGGATTAGTTATATGATCTCTTTATAAACTTCTTGAAGTATCAAAGTGATAGTTGTGTAGATTGTCAATGGAAGGACATTTTCTCATTTAAAATGTCTTAATTTGTGTTTTGAAAATGAATGAAAGTCTTGCAGGTCTGGAATGACAGAGAGTGAGAAATAATGACAATTTTTTATTTTTACAGACTAACCATTTATCTTTTTGCAGTTTGATATCTTAAATGAATAATTAGTAAATTCCAGGTGTGAACATAAGCTGATATTTTGTGCCTGCCCAGTTAAAATTTAATTTTTCATATTCATTTGTGCGTTTTAAATTTGTACTGCACATAGAATAACATATAAATGACACAGACTCACAATTCTGGCATCATCTTCAGCATTCTGCTCCTTTCTTGAAGGGCTTCCATCACTCACACTCAGTGTCATCAGACTCCCAGTTTGCAATCTTATGAGAGGAGCTTCCTTCACTTGACACTGCAAAGTCTGGGCCAATTCTATTGAAAAAGGATAAAAACACTTATTTCAGTCATTTAAATTTTGAGTATCCTGAGAACTGTCTATAATACGGGTGTCAAATCGCAAACTAATTTTTTTTTTTTTTACATACTTCATTCTAGGTAATTTCATCAAAATTGAAGCTAAAGCCTATAGGTCCCAGCGCAAGCAGCAGCCGCCTCATACGTTGACCATTCAAATGGGAAACACACAAATTGAGGAACAGCTATGTTCATGCACAGCAGGGTAAGTGAAATGTGAAAATAATCGAATAATTATAAATCAAACAGCTTATCCATAAGTCTTGTGGAATAAACACAAGACATTAGCCTGACCACTTTGCAATGATAACATTCTCCCGCTTATATTTTTAGCGCGCCAGGCTACTGCTCACACGTCGTGGGTCTAATCTACGCCTTGGACCTGGCAAGAGCCAGAGATGCTGAGCTGAGCCGAGCCATACGTCATCAACAACACAAAGTTCTCCTGCACGAGTCTACCACAGCAGTGGCACAACCCAAGGGGTAACAAAATAAGTGCAGTGCCAATATCATCGGTAGTTGTCGCTAAAGCCAATGAAAACTGTATGCGGCGACCAATCGACTGTCGGTATGCAGGAAGCAGGTAAGTTAAGGCAAAAATTATGTTTATCGTTATAGTTATGGGATTTGGCAGACGCTTTTGTCCAAAGTGACATACAAATAAAAACAATACAATAGTTAAAATTAACAGTGAACAGTTTTAAAATGTTGATAAGACGGGTCTAATCTACGCCTTGGACCTGGCAAGAGCCAGAGATGCTGAGCTGAGCCGAGCCATACGTCATCAACAACACAAACAAAGTTCTCCTGCACGAGTCTACCACAGCAGTGGCACAACCCAAGGGGTAACAAAATAAGCGCAGTGCCAATATCATCGGTAGTTGTCGCTAAAGCCAATGAAAACTGTATGCGGCGACCAATCGACTGTCGGTATGCAGGAAGCAGGTAAGTTAAGGCAAAAATTATGTTTATCGTTATAGTTATGGGATTTGGCAGACGCTTTTGTCCAAAGTGACATACAAATAAAAACAATACAATAGTTAAAATTAACAGTGAACAGTTTTAAAATGTTGATAAGACTACATTAAGGAGAATAGAAATAATAAACAATAATGTCAATTCAATCAATAGCCTAATGAAAATAAAACAATACTATAATATACAATCCATAACATTAGAGAGGCAGGTTTCCAAGTACAGCAAAGTTTTGTCATATAAAGCCCCTAGCTTTGTATTGATAGCGTATTCTTTTTCAGGACCTTCTCAGTTACAGAGGAGAAAATTGCTTTATTAAAAAGGCAGACAGGGACCAATCGACTGTCGGTATGCAGGAAGCAGGTAAGTTAAGGCAAAAATTATGTTTATCGTTATAGTTATGGGATTTGGCAGACGCTTTTGTCCAAAGTGACATACAAATAAAAACAATACAATAGTTAAAATTAACAGTGAACAGTTTTAAAATGTTGATAAGACTACATTAAGGAGAATAGAAATAATAAACAATAATGTCAATTCAATCAATAGCCTAATGAAAATAAAACAATACTATAATATACAATCCATAACATTAGAGAGGCAGGTTTCCAAGTACAGCAAAGTTTTGTCATATAAAGCCCCTAGCTTTGTATTGATAGCGTATTCTTTTTCAGGACCTTCTCAGTTACAGAGGAGAAAATTGCTTTATTAAAAAGGCAGACAGGAGCACCCATCAGCTACTTGGTAAACAGACCCCCTGTTGACATAACTGTAGGAGGAGAGAGATACCCACTAGAAGTGGTTTGAGCCATCAGGTAAATTAATGAGATGAAGCAGTATTAAAGTAGATATTCTTTATTGTGTACTTTATATGAAATTCACTCAACGTGTATGTACAGGGCAGTGCAGGACATTGCAGGACAGTGCACCACGTCAGTGTGATCTTCCTTGACCACTCAGCTCTTCTACACACAGACCCTGTGCTTGGCTATTCTTTTGGTCAGTTCAACATCTGCATGTGGCATCTGTCTGTTTGCTCTTGCAAAAGGTGGAATGTTAAGTTGCAAACCAATCTCCTCAACTTCCTTCTCTATTAGAAAGCCTTTATCAACCATCAAGCCATCTCCTACATTGAGATAGCCACACTGAATGTACCCCTTCAAAATGTCAAGGATGTTGCACTCATTGAAAATCTCTTTGTCAGAAATTGCTCCGGTGAAGAGGGCAGACACATAAATGACTGCACCTCGTGGATCACAGGCCACTAGAGACTTAAGGGTGTTAGTAGACTTGTAGGTGGAGTAAATCTGACTCTGAAACACTAGTGAGCTTGGTCTCTGAATCTTAAGTTCAGTGCAGTGTAAGATGGCAAAAGTATTCAGAAATTCTTCCTTAAATTTAGCTGGCATGTTCTCAGAAATAACATCCCTGTGTGGACAAATAGACAATTTGCCAAGACTATCATACATATAGTCCACCCAGGAGTTGATCAGTGTGCTGACACTCTGTAAACGGATGTTAAATCTGAAAGCTAGGTCTTTGTGGTCCAAATATTGTCTTAATTTCATTATTCAACATCTGCATGTGGCATCTGTCTGTTTGCTCTTGCAAAAGGTGGAATGTTAAGTTGCAAACCAATCTCCTCAACTTCCTTCTCTATTAGAAAGCCTTTATCAACCATCAAGCCATCTCCTACATTGAGATAGCCACACTGAATGTACCCCTTCAAAATGTCAAGGATGTTGCACTCATTGAAAATCTCTTTGTCAGAAATTGCTCCGGTGAAGAGGGCAGACACATAAATGACTGCACCTCGTGGATCACAGGCCACTAGAGACTTAAGGGTGTTAGTAGACTTGTAGGTGGAGTAAATCTGACTCTGAAACACTAGTGAGCTTGGTCTCTGAATCTTAAGTTCAGTGCAGTGTAAGATGGCAAAAGTATTCAGAAATTCTTCCTTAAATTTAGCTGGCATGTTCTCAGAAATAACATCCCTGTGTGGACAAATAGACAATTTGCCAAGACTATCATACATATAGTCCACCCAGGAGTTGATCAGTGTGCTGACACTCTGTAAACGGATGTTAAATCTGAAAGCTAGGTCTTTGTGGTCCAAATATTGTCTTAATTTCATTAAGGTCAGTAACAATTGAGTACGCAGTGAAAGTTGTTTGATCTCATTATTGACACGTTTGTATGAGAGAGGAATGTGTGTTTGTGGTGCACTTGGATCAGTTGGAATGTAAAACAATTGACACAAGCTGTTAAATTGCTCATAAGAAAACCCTGTGCAGTAGTGGAAATAATCAGGCACATGGCTTTTGTTTAAAATCTCAGGGTTTATAGCATCTGAGGTGTGTGCATACTGAAGTTCCTTTTGAAGATGATGGAGTTGGCCATCCTTTGCCTCGAGTTGAAGCTTCAGATTTATGATGTCCTGCTTGTGATTGGCAAATGCGTCCTGCAGAGTTCTCAGTTCCTCTCCATGGTCGACCATATCATGTTCTTCTGTAAATCACAAAAAAGAGAAAGGAAACATGGAATGTTACTAATTTGTTATTTTCTTCTGTTTTACAGCTTCCTCTCCTTGACTCTGCAGGACCATCATCTGCGAACCAGCCGTCAAACGACTTCCCGGATTTCCCTCTGCCAACACAGCCGTCAAATTTCTGTGCAGTGCTGCATGAAAAAAACATGTGTAGCTACAGAAAATTGACAATCACACCATCCCAGTCTTTATCTTTAGAAAGAGAGACCAGACAACAAGATACAAATCACATCTGGCATCTTGCCCGGGCTCCCCGACTAACGTCAAGTGTGTTCAAGACAATATGCTCTAGAAGAGCCGACTTTGACACCTTGGCTGTGAGAATCAAGGGCACATCCAAAATGCAGACCAAAGCAATGAGGAGAGGGGTAGAGCTAGAACCTGTGGCAGCGCAGCAGTACTTGAACGTAACAGGTAATCTGGTATACCCTTGCGGCTTTGTAGTGAACCCTCATGCTCCACACCTTGGCACATCCCCAGACAGGAAGGTCATAGATGGTACAAGCTTTGGCCTTTTGGAAATTAAATGTCCAGCAAAGAACAGCTGCCAAGACTGTCCCTATCTCCAAAGACAGGCAGATGGTGGTTACAAACTAAAGGAGACCCACGCGTATTACTACCAAATAATAGGGCAGCTGGGACTCACAGGCATGCCTTGGTGTGACTTCTTTGTAATGTGCGCAGTGGATACATTTAGATGTAGAAAAGTGGGGTGAGATGAAAGACAAATTAGATTTGTTTTTCTTTGATTACTTCCTTCCCAGTTGCAATCAGTAACTAAAAACAGATACAAATAGCGGTTTAAACTTACCATAGGTAGTGTAAATCTATTGTGATGTACTGTGAAATGTGCCCTCAGTGGATTTTGAGGTGCTGGCTTCCTGTCACACATGATTCAGTAAACAATCGGTTTAACAATTGTTTAGTTGTCTATACGAAATCATTAAAGTTTAACAAACCCTTCTAATAACTTAACTTTTGATAGCCCCATGGAATAACGTTTTATTACACTGTTGTTTTGTTGGGGTTTTGATCCTGTATTCTTACCAGAAACAAATAAAATGCACTTTGTATAAAGCATGAGAGCATGCTGTGTTCTGTAATAAATCTCGCTGCCCAAATAAAGTCTACACAGTAGTAAACCGGTATGACAGCACATAAGTGACTACTGTTAATGAACTGATTAAGTTTGCATACCAACCTTTTCCTTGGAGATCTCCGGCAAGCCCCCTGATGTTCCCTCCTTAGAACTAACCCCGGGAGAGCGGCGATCGGATTGGGGTACTCAGGGGTAGGCCGTTGATTAACAAAATGCTGAAATATATTTTAAAGTATGTCAGTCAGCCTCCGTCTTGCCTTTAATCGTCTTATTTTACGTTCAAATATATGCATTATGAACAAAGAACAAG